GCTGCAGAGGCTGCTGCTACACTGGTCGTCTTCTCTTGCATGTGTTGTTGAGTGTGCGATAGAAGAGCCAGGTCATCTGCGAAGTCCAGATCGTCCAGCTGCGTCCTAACTGTCCAGTTGATACCGTGCTTCCCTCCAGATGTTGACGTCTTTATAATCCAGTCGATGACCAGGAGAAGGAGAAAGGGTGAGAGTAAGCAACCTTGCCTGACACCGGTCTCCACCTCAAACGAGTTTGTCAGCTGACATCCATGCACGATTTTGCAGTTGAATCCACCATAAGAATTCCGTTTGATGTTGACTATCTTCTCAGGCACGCCGTCGTTTCGAAGAAGCCTCCGTAGTGTTTTCCTATCCACGCTATCGAATGCTTTCTCGTAGTCGATGAAGTTAATTTGGAGTGGTGAGTTCCATTCAATTTATTGCTCCACAATGATCCGTAATGTAGCAATTTGGTCAGTACACGATCGATCCGTTCGAAATCCAGGCTATTGATCTCGCTCTTGTGTGTCTACGAAGTCCTTCATTCTGTCTAACAGTACCCTGTTGAAGACTTTGCCTGGTATTGAAAGAAGAGTGATGCCTCTGTAGTTCTCACACTTGCTGGGATCGCCTTTCTTTGATGAGGTGTCCCTTCCAAATCTTGTTGAAGAGAATGTGAAGTATTTTTGAAGTTGTTTCCACGTCTGCTTTCATTGCCTCTACTGGAATGTTGTCTGGTCCTGCTGATTTGTCTAATGACCATACTGATCTCCTCAATTGTAGGTGCGCCAATATTAATTGGGAGGTCCGTGGATGCTGCTTCGATGTTGGGTGGGTTCAGTGGAACTGGTCGATTCAAGAGTTCCTTGAAGTGCTCTACCCACCTGTTTCGCTGTTCTTCAGTGTTGCTGATTACTTTGCCCTCCTTGCTTTTCACTGGTCGTCCTGATTTACGATAGTTCCCGGCGAGCTTCTTTGTTGTTTCGTACAATTGTCTCATGTTTCCTTCTCTTGCAGCCTTTTCCGCCGTCATTGCTAGATCTTCCACATATTTTCGTTTGTCAGCTCTGATGCTCTTCTTCACTTCCCTGTTTGCTTCTGTGTATGCAGCTTGTGCGGTAACGTTCTCTGCTCCTGTTCGGCTGACATTCACTGCTGCCTTATTGTTCCTCCTTTCTTGAATTTTTTCAAGAGTACCAACAGAGATCCATTCCTTGTGATGGTGCTTCTTGCGACCAAGGACCTCCTGACATGTTGAAGTGATTGCCTCCTTAATCCCTTTCCAACTGTACTCCAATGTTGCTTCCTCTCCATTGAGTAGATCCTGAAAGGCCTGGAACCTATTGGTAAGGACTATCTTGAATTCGTTGAGTTTTACGGTATTCCGAAGAAAGGCCGTATTAAACTTCTGTGATGTTGTCTGCCCCGTTGTCCAGTGCTTCTTTAGTTTCAGTTTCATTTTGGCGATCAGCGAGTGATGATCTGAGGCTATTTCAGCTCCTCTCTTGGTTCTCACATCCTCCATGGTCCTTCTGAACTTTTTGTTGATACAGATATGGTCAATTTGGTTTTGAGTAGTGTGATCCGGTGAAATCCATGTGGCTTTGTGAATGCGTTTGTGCGGGAATATTGTGCCACCGATGACCGGTTTTTTGAAGGCACATAGGTTTGCAAATCTCTCACCGTTTTCGTTCCTTTCTCCCAGTCCATGTCGTCCCATGATGTCTTCATATCCAGTGTTGTCCATGCCAACTTTTGCAGTTAGGTCTCCCATCAGAATGTTCAAATCCTTTGGTGAACATTTGTCGACGATTGACTGCAGCCTTTCGTAGAATTGATCTTTAACGTTGTCATTGTAGTCATTGGTAGGTGCATAACATTGGATGACGTTCATTGTAATGTCCTACTTCTCTGTTTTAAAGGATGCCTTAATGATCCTGGGTCCATGAGATTCCCATCCTATCAGTGCCTTTTGTGCTTGTTTGGACACCATCAGTGCAACTCCTTGTGTATGTGAAGCGTTTTCCTCTTCATGACCAGAGTATAACAGCAGTTCCCCTGAAGCAAGTCTCAGTTGTCCTACCTGTGTCCAATGCGTTTCACTTATGCCGAGCACCTCGAGGTTATATCTTTTCATTTCTGCAGCAACTTGAAATAGTCTTCCCTGTACCTAAAAGAATGGTTGCTGTGGTTGTCAGAAGAGGCATCGGTCTCGTGACTTCCGAGGGAACTCGGCTTTCATCACGAGACGTCATAATTCTTCTTCCAACTCCTAGGGCGAAGTTAAAATGGTTTGATTTATTTCATCTGGTTAGCGTTTTTTTGGCAAGTTAGTTTTTTGGTGGGATGGGGTCCCCAACCCTCCTCCTTTATTCGGGCTTGGGACCAGCAGTAGCCCCGAAGGTTTACTGGCGGAGTTATATATATATATATATTGTAGGTGGTGTTTATTTTATTGGACTACCTATGGGTTTCATAGAGTGTACTTATGAAAAGTGAGGTAACGAGAGGAAAACAGCTGTTTAATGCTTCTTATTTTTCCAGTTGATACCAGCACATATTGAAAACTATCTACAAATCCGATCTCATTCGAAAACTCAAAATAATTTCATACCAATAATGTTATTTATAAACAGAATTTTAGATAATAATTTTTAATCTATAAAACGATTCATTAGTTGAATTAGTCTATTATTTATCGTTCATTTCGTTTCCTGTTTCACTAAAAAACAAAACCTATCTTCACTTCGGTACCTTACCTCTTTTTATTATAGGGAATAAGCTAAACTCAGTGTGTTTCTGAAACGTTTTCTTATTACATAGGCTGACTGATATTTTTTTATTTAGTCAGACTGTATATACAGTCTATTTGTTTGATTTCTTGTACATATATTCGTTAACTCAAAATCTCTTTGTTTACTAGTAACTGTAACATTTCATTTCATTTCGACTACTTGGTCGAACTGTCATTAAAATTGTTCGTTTAATGTGTATGTGTGTGTGCGTGACTCTGTGTAGATTAGAGCCTCATATTTCATTTCTAACAGGTTTTAGTTAACATTGAGAGTGTGGACAAACAGACAAATTATTGATTTTGAGAAAGAGAACAAAGCGCAAAACTTTATAAATCTGTTGATCATTTCATCCCATTTAACATGTTTCACAGCCTACATAAGATAACAAGTAACAAAGCTCCCAAAGGACTAATTAGATAATTGTTAGTTCTTTTCTATTTACTTATTTCTTTTCGAACAAATAAGTGTCTGTAACCTTACCCTTTACTTTTACAGAATCAATCAAATGTTATATTTGTGTTTTGGTGGTGTAAGTTTAGTAATGATTATTTCAGTAGTAACATTTCTCAGATAGACTTTTTTTTAGTAGGCTGAATTATTAACACACGAAAATGATGGGTGAAGCTGAATGGAAGTTAAGGTCGTAACTCAACTCAAATCAGAAACTTCAGGTCTTTTACTTCATTGATTCAGGCAGTAGATAAGTGGACAACACTATATTTTATGGATGCTTATCGAGCAGTTCTAAAGAGACCTTGAGAAACTTCAACCGTTCATTGGGTGTAAAATAAGGTTATGGATTATCATGAGGAATTAGCATTTCGGTTTATAACTTGGAATTATCAATCATAGATAAAGTTTTTATCATGGGTCAACCTGATATAACCCCGGAATTCGACATAACTATCTGAATGAATGAGTTTCGGGGAAAAATCCAAGAGGTGCTATCATCAATCTAATTGTTTCGTTCACATAGTAGTATACCCATGTCGAAAAGCGTATTTCAGTGGAAAAAATGATACGCCGACTTTTTTTTCTAGTCATGAAATAAACGTGAACATGTACAAAAATTACTTGTTTGTTTGATCTATGATTACAAAGCTAAAGTATTCAACTGGTAAAAATCTTGTCTTATCAATGCTCAAACACTTTGATAAAATTTCCTAAGTATAAACCAATCGCATAATATAGACATTGGTTTTTGTGTCAGGCTGTTGCAAACATTTTATTGATGTAACTTGATGATTGATTAATGAAAAATGACTTCTTCACAAAGATTGTTAAAATAAAGTATGCTTGAAGTTTATCTCTATCGGAATTTCAGTACAGTATTCATCTAAGCTAATGCATATAGTCATGCAAAAATCATATTGCTCAATTTTAAGTAATTGTTTAATATAGACGAAAGAAACTATGTCTGACTCCTAAACATTCGTAATCATAAAAGTTACAATCAGTTTTTATTCCAGTTGATAATAGCCTTATTCAGGAGACGTTTGATATTTTCAATATATAGTCGATTGATTGATAACTGGAGAGTTTTCTTTAACTATTTCAGTACACCTCGATGACAGAAGTAGATCATTTAAAGACAATAGCAGAATATAAGTTTTTCTCATCTTGAGAGAATATTTAAGAAGATATAGGATGAGTATAAGATATCAGGACTGATCTATATTTGAGCACTATCATATTGTAGCGAAAGGAATTCTGTGTTCTGATCGTTTTAGTTAGTTTTTACAAACCTAATTAGTTTTTAAGAAATTTTTTCTTGAAATAAACACATATGTTATCGGAAATTCACTAATTTTTGTTATTTTTATTCGTAACTGCATTTGCTTCTCATGTATGGTAAGCATTAGTATTATTCACCTACTTTAAGGTTTCCAGTTATAAATATTATAAATAGATGATGTAAAAAGACTATATTAATTTGATCATTCACATTTTTGATTTATTTTCGTATGATGCTTAATTTTTATACTTCATCCAGCATGATTTTAACTAATAGTCTTTGTTCCTAATTTTGTGTACCACTAAACTCTTGGATATTAGGAGTACAATTGTTTAAAGTTTTACTGGAGAAGGTCACTCGATATATGATATTCAGTATATTACTGTGCTGTATTTTGTTCAGTCATTTTTTCTTGGTTTATCCACTGGTTTGTACTTTTTGATACCATCTTAATACATGTTTATCTTCTGTATTTTCTTAAAATACAGGACGCAATGAATTAATTGCTCGATATATCAAGCTTAGAACAGGTAAAACTAGGACAAGAAAACAAGTATCTAGTCATATTCAAGTGTTGGCACGTCGACGATCAAAAGAATCAGCTGAATATTCATTGGATGATATTTATGATTCAGATTTATGTGGTTTCTCCCCATCTATAGATATTCATGATGAAACTGAGCAATCAAATTTCAATGAGGAAAATTCACATTCTAAATTAGAAAAGCATTCAACATTTAGTGTTGAGACATTTTTATCACAAGGTAAGCCAACTTCTTGTTTTCAAAGTTCAATGATTTCTCTTGAGAAATTTTCAACGGAAAAGTTAAATTTTCATCATTATCGAGAATTTGAGACTAAAATGACAAGTCACATGAATTAAAGTCACTTTACATCATGTATTACATGGAAACCGTTTATATCAGTGAATGTTAAGCAGTTACTTTATTTTGGTTTATAACCCTTCAACACTGGGCACCTACTATCCCATAAAGAATTAGCCTAAACGCTTTTAGGTTTTGTGTTCAACATGATACATAGAGTACATTTTCTCAAAATTCAATTGCTCAATGTAAATCATTCCCTGAAATCACATTATGATCGGTAATACCTATTTCACTACCATTATTGCTAAACTTCACCTGTCACGCTATATCACCGAAGTTCAAGAATTCATTTCGAGTTCAGTCACCAGTGAACAAGCTATTATTTTAGAAACGTAAATTTGTCAAGGCTTTTGAATCCAAGTTAGTCTGTGAACTCAAAATTTCAACATATTTAAACTGTCATTTGACTTTACAAAGTATGTTAACGAATTAGGTTCAGTTCAATAAGTAACATAAAATAACTCTAGGCCGGTTAGGGGAAACCTTGTATAATTTTAATACGAACTAATTTAAGTGAAAAGCTAGGTTTATTAACTTTTTTGAACACTTGGAATACTAACTGTACTTTATATCAAGTCATTAAATTAAATCTGTAATAAATTTTAGCGGGTTGCGTTACGTTCGTTGTCGGTCTCACCAATTTAGTGGGTACATTGGATTCCATGTCAAGGCTCCCCAATTTTTTGCTTTCTTGATTTTGAAGTAGGGCTCACCACTTTAGTGGCCCGCTACTGGACTCCTTTATTTACGAACAAGTAAAGGTGCTGTGAAACAAATCTCCCCTCCATACTTAGGCGAACCCCGTTTGTGCGACGGCGTTAATAAGAAGCCAAATACGGATTTGGTTGTTTGGATTTATTTCAGTCAGACAGACATATGAACACGAAGTTTGAAAGCAAGGCGAAGAGAATTGGGGAAGGCGAGCGAGCCAACTCCACGCGATGGAGCATGACTAATATTTATAGTCAGACAAAAATAAGCTAGATATACGATAAGCGAGTAAGCATTTTTAGTGTCAACTGTTGTTATAATACTCGTGTCGGATGGAAAAATCCATAAAATTTATTTTATGTAGTCAGCCTGAACCTTCGATTATTTCTTTATGGAAGTATACAAATAATTCAACTACTAACTAGTAGTATAAATCTCAACTATAAAGTTCTATTCGAATTTACTTGATGTCACTTTGAACAACTCACTTGCATTCCATTCTTATTAACTGGAGATAAGGTAGATAGACAAAACTTCATACATTTCATGAACTCACTTGTGAATTACTCTGCCGCTGGTTCAGTTAAAGGTGCACGGTTATTCCAGCTTGAAGCCAAATACCCGTTCAACCGAACAGTAATATGAAACATATACTTTAATTAGCACGAGGCCGAATTTCCTGGGTCCGATTCCCACTGACGGAATCATAGATGCACACTGCTTAGAAGTCTTATACAAGGATGCAATGGCCATCTAGTGATTTCAGGTTTTTTATTATTGCCTAACTTTGATCGCTCTGCGATTTCAGTGAAATTTTAATTAGTATTAGCTTCCTAGTAAGTAAATCCCATTTTTCAATGTAAAACTAGTAGTGAAATCTAGGACGCGCATTTTTTCCGATTTAAGAATTATCGTCCGGATGTACTTGTATCCCTGCATCTAGGATGCAGATCCATACAGCTGATGGGTCATGAATAGGAGGAAACGTGCGTCCTGGATTTCAGTGCTAGCCATATTTTATTCATTCTATTTAAACCTGTATCATAATGACTATATAGAAGTTATCCGCATAGGATCCCCCTTACAAAGACTGATCAAAGTTCAATCAAAATATCAACAATCAGACAATCCAAACAATTTCAAATTGTAATGTAAGATATTTATAAAATTTCACAAAACTATGGAATATTTAAAAAGTTCATAAATCAGTTGTTTATTATACGCAACAAGTAGTGAAAGATCAAATTAGTTTTTTCCTGAAAGCTAAATCACTCTCATTACATTTGATTATTTCATAGCTTATTACATTTGATTATTTTGTCTTGGTTTATTTAATGAAAAAACTACTTTCACTTACTTCTTCTGATTATACAGATTGGGAAAAATTAACTTATCCTAATAAATTAAGCATTATTCAAACGGATGAGCTACATCTTATCTATTATGATTTATTCATGTGTGGTTCCTCTCAACCTCATCATTCGACGAATGAAGTAAGAATTGTTTGTAGCACTTGTTAAAATTTGTTTGCATATATTACTGTATTCAGTAAATGTTTTTTTTTTCAAATTATTTGTTCTTTTGAATATTTGACAAATTATCAGATTGACAGTACTTTGACATTTGTAATATATAAAGCATTAAAACAGTTCATCTAATTAATATTTTTCCAAACTGAGTCAACAAGTGATAATTCAGTCAACACACGAGAAAAAATCCAATGCACAATATAATCAAAATAATGGATTGGTATGACTGTTAGTAATTTTTATCAGATCAACTGATGACCAATTATTTTTGTATACCATTTAAATCTGTGCATATTAGTTTCATGAACCATGTTCTGTTCGCAAACTCTTTTGCAGTGAGTGATACAACGTGCATTAATGCTTTGATTTTGACATGTTTCGTATTACAGCGTATCACTGTTTATGTTTGATAGTATCAATAATCTAATACTAATAGATACTGTTGATTAGCAGTAAACTTTTTGAATGATTAAATTAAAATCCTTTTTACCTAAGAGTTAATACAAGAAAAAAATGAAAACCAGTGGAACACTATTGTTTATCATTGATTATGAACTGACTGGGACAATTCATTGGCGTATTTTTAATTTAAATTGAACTTATACAATATAGTCGAAATTGATGCTCTTCAACTATCTAACATTACTATGAGAGATAATCAGAGATATTTTCTTAGTATAGGAGCTTTTGGAACTTGTTAAAGCATTTTTTACACCACTCACTAACTCTTGTTAAACAGATATTTGGAACCAGGAGGCTCTGAATAGCTGCTTACTACCATAGCCCCACCAGAGATTGAGTTAAGGGCATTCGGGATTTTAGGAAAACGCTAAACTTCCAAACTATTTAGCTGCTATTCACTACTTTGTGTTTCTAATTCTCGTTAATTATTGAAATACGCGCGTAAGGCTTATTAATAGTTGTCTAACTAACACTATTATAAATGTTTTAATTCACAAGGTCACTAGTAAATTTTGAATTCTACGATACTTCAGTAGTTTTAAGTTACAAGTATATCATATTGTAGATTAGTTATATCAGGAATATGACCAAATTGAAAGGATGGAATCAAGTGATTTTAATGTATTTACAATATCTTCTTTTAGCATGCTTTGGTTATTCTTAACTCGTCCTCACCAATCAGTACAATTCATTCTCAAATGGATTCATCAAATCAATTTGATATTATACCTCAACATATTAATATAAATTGGCCGTATATTCTTAAAAACCAACCTGATAAATGTTTTGTTATAAATTTAAGTGTAAGTTTCATGCTTTTTCTCTACACTTGTTGATAACTGTCTACAGTAAATCATATTACTAGAATGTTTCCATTTAGCTTGAAAAAACAAAACAATTCTTTCTAGTAATGTTGTACTGTTATGTGTAATGCTTTGTATCTTGTGATAACAGATAATTTGAGAGATGTGGACTATTTTAAAATTGTCATCAACCTATCAGTAACTATAAGTAATTAATTGATAGTTTCTATTATTTTAACACTTCAATATAAATTTTTAGAAAAACTGAATACTTGACTATTTTATAAATTTTGAAAAAAATTAATAACTTACCATTTGCATGAAAATATATATTCACCCATTTTGAAAATACGAATTGATATTAACTTTCTAGGAATCTCCACATAGTACATTGTTGTTGCGCTATAACCTCTGGTATCTTAATTTGCTACTGAGTTGTTTCTTTTTTTCTGACTTAAAAGTGAGTAAACACTAAATACTAAAAGATGTCTGAGAATGCTTACAGTTCAGAATGAAGATTTTGAAGGTGTAATGTTTTCTACGGTAAATGGTTTATTCCTGAAGCCATGATTCTATAGATAAGTCTCTTAATTTGGATTCACTAAGTTTGGATTGAACAATTAAATAGCATCACCAGTCTTTACATTTACAATGTGGCTGGAAACCGAGTAAATGAATTTATATTCGATAAACAACTAAACCATCTAACTCAGGGAAAATGACATCTGTAAAAACTAAGTTATCTATTAAGAAATGATTTAATGTACGCATTATTATACTGTTGTGTAAGGATTTTTTCAATTATTGTTACCATTGAAAGTATAACAAATTCAAGCAAAAATCTAATTCTCAAAATGTATTGATTGATTAATTGACAGATTGATTTACCGGAAACAAACCATTTAACATGTAGTCCATTTTTATCTACAACTATTGTGTAAGTTCTTATTTTATTTAAATTTGTTGCAATGATTATTTTGGTTTTTGTATGATTCGACAAATAAATATACATATTTTTATGTAGGTTTTGTTGTTTATCAATTCATTTTAACATAACAATAAATACATACATTTAATTCGTTTTTCCTTAATAGTCGTTACAACAATTCAATAAAATGATAAGTAATTATAAGAATATCGAATAAATCTGAAACTGACGCTTTTATCTAATTTGTCATGGTTTTACACTATCTCGTTGTTGATATTTTGACTGAGTTTTGATCAGTTCTAGTTGGTATATGTGCATCTATGACTTTCGGATCTGTAGGTTTCACAACGAGCATGTTACCTTTAGACCACTGAATTCCAAACTAAGGGTTTGTTGCTTTAGTTAACTTACATGAAAACATAACATTATACCTAAATGGTTTATTCGGTCAGCTATGCGACTGTATTATGTACTGTTAAATTCAAACATATAAAGTGATTGCCACGTTGTTTAATTGTGGTAATCACTGTTTGTGTAAGTAATGTTCGGAGAAACTCCGTTTTGATTTTTTTCTGAAGCGCTATGGATTTGTATTAAAAACTTTCACACAGTAATTTCATCACACTTAGCATTCAAGTTATTGCAGGACATCGTTATCAGTATACCTCTTATTGAATATTATCCTTCTTCGCATACTCGTTCATCACCAAACAAAATCAGTTATGTTAAGTGATTCCTCTTACTACATATTGTTGACCATGAATTAATATCAGCTGACCAACTCATATTGGTAATGTAGAACAAGGTAGTTACCAGTTATTATTTAAAAATTAGTATTCGTCGGTAAAAACTACAAATCCTACTAATATATATTCACACAACTCAATAACTAAAAACACCCTAAAATTGTTGAGAAATTTATAAGAATGTAGGTGAATCCTTGAATAAAAATTTAATCACTCTATCGTCCGATAAACCTCTAATATATAATCACCTCAAGATTAATCGGGTCTTTATTGTATCCAAAAAAATCGATGAAAGATAAATGTTTCTAAGATCACACACCAATCTAAGTTAAACTAATGAGTCTGGATCCAGCGGTGTGGAAGTTTAACTTGAATTTATCCGTGATATTCCACGACTATCTTTCATTGTCTTCGGTAAGTATCTTCACACCTGACACTGTTGAATTTCATTAGAAGCATAAATTATTCATTATTTTTATTTCAAAAAATATTAAAAGTTATTGTTATTAACGAATTTCATTTTCAACGTTGATGATGCAGTTAACTAGGGATACTTTTCTACGAGAAAATATTCAATCAATTCAACATTGCAAAAACAGTCGAAACAATTAGTCGTTTATATAAATTTTATCAGTATTATTTAAAGATGGAGTTGACCTAAAGAACGTGATGTATTTGTGGAGTATGTTTGGAACAGTTGGTCATATATATACTTGAAATCACGAACTTAACAATCTTCACCACCCCGTAATGCATATACTTGTCAAGACATTTGAATATGAAAACTATAATAAAGGTCAATGAAATCAAGGGTTAAATAAACATGAAGTGATAATGGGAATAAAGGCCTTCAAAGGAATTGAAGATTACTTGGACATAATCAAGATTTGAACACATTGTATGTAAACGCATAAAAGAGGTTTGAATTTTCTCTAATGGTCGAAATTTCTATAAACTTAAAAATGCACTCTTGACAATCTCTACATAAAGCTGTAAAAATTGCTTTAGTGTCGATCCTATAACTTACTTCAGTTACTTGTTTTGCTATCGAAGAGCATTTAATCGTTTTAGATATAAATAATTTGACAAGTATTTTACTAGATTATTAGAAATATATTTAGCGCACGTAAAACTCTTTTTTTCTCCAGACCAACTCCATTTCACTAAATTAAGTATATTGAAAATAATTTACAAGTAAATTATAGTTTAATGATTAAATCGTATGTTTTTATTTTTATTCTTATACTGTTAAATAAAACAGATTCAAAAGTATTTGCTCTAGAAAAAAATCTTTAAAACTATCCACCAAAATTTTCACCTTTAATCAACTTATCACAGAAACAGAAACAAATGTAAGTTCATTTCAGTTGAATTACGACGATTAGAAATAATCTGATTTCTTTTCAAAATTAAATGTTATCAAATACTTATGTTTTATCAAATCAATTCATCGGTTATATACAAGTTGAATAACAAGAAATCATACTATATCGCTGTGTTTTATCTATCTTCTCTATTGTGTGCTTCACTTATTTGTGCCTCTATCCAACTTACAGTTAAACTAAAAAGACAACATTTAAATCAGTATTTATTTACAAATCCCATTTTTAAGAGATTTGTAATTCCTTTTTCTATTCTGTGTTTACGTAAAAGTGATTAAAGCAGGAAACAAATTCGTTTAGCTCTAAAAGCATCTAATCGATCAGAATATTATGTAGATTTGACATAAACAGGCTCTCAGATATTTACACTAATCACTAAATAATAAATCAAATCATGATTTTTCAATCATTTGTGCTGATCGAACTCTATTTGTTAAACCGCAATATGGTCACCTAACCAAGCAACTCAACATTATATGTACAATATTTAGAGCTTAAATAATTTCCGATTGTCTCTCATTACTTAGCGCTACAAATGGATACTGTCCCATTTCAAACAGTATCGAGTGAACGAAAACAATAATGCCATTAATTTTAAGAAATGAAAGAAATATATCAATCAAAAGATATTCGCTAATCGAAATAAGACTTTAAAGATTAGTGAAACTACTTGCGTAAATGAATCTCTATACAAATGAATTATCGATAGCTTACTGTTTTACTATTTAAAATCTGCTGATCTGGATAATCAATACAAAATAATTATAATACTTTATCACTTTCGCATAATTCAACAGACTTCTAGGTAATGTTTGGCTTAAAGTGAAACGATACTAGATAGTAGTAGGATGACATTTATGATCGTTTACAATTTTTAAAAGTTATTCTGTTTCATTCTTTAAGATTTCTAATATCCTTGTAGTACAATAACTAACCCTATAAAAGGTAACGGATTTTAATTCCTTTTTTGAATATCATAGCTAGGTGAGTTCTGTGGTATTAGCAGTGATTTTTTTTAGTATATGGTAACTTTTTCAAGTTTTATTGATTAATTATCATTCAGAAGAAGTCAATCTAGTTTCTGAACAACTTTTAACTTTTTATAAGAACTTTCGTCTAAATTTAAACGAATAGTTCCACAGTAGTTGGGCACTGAGTTAATGGGAGACAATATTCATATTCAGTATTATTTATATGATCAGATGATTTGTTTAGTACAGAGTTCATCTGAAAACTATACATTGATCTATCGACTATTTTGATTTCTGATCATTTCTTTGAAACATCCCCTACCAAGAAAAATGTTCAATTTATTTTAACTCCAATCACCAAGAACTTTACATATCTAATTCTGCTTTTAATATAATCTTTTTGATTTTTTATTGATAACAATATTTTATTTGAAATCTTAAACAGGTGATTGTTAAACCACTATTAGAAACCTAGAAGCACTGGACGGCCGTTTCTTCCTAATATTGGATTTATGAGCAGTGCGCATCCACGATCCTCGCGCGCGAAAACAACTATCCCCATATCTACATGACGGATATCATAAAATGTGCTCACTAGTGACAAGCTATGTGAGGAAATTTTCGGAGTTATAGTGAAAAACCTTAACCATTGGAGTTCATCCCTGTCGGATGTAGGCGGTAACTCCCTAAGAAAATGTTTGAAGTTGTGCAATAACTTATTTTGATCGAAGTTGGATGCCAGCTCAGTGTTCGCCCGCGAGACAGAAGGTCATGGATCCAATCCCCATGAATGTTCACGGTTGATGAGTCCCATAGTGAGATGAGACGGCCGTCCAGTGCTTCTAGGTTTCTGATGGTGGTCTAAAAATGATCGACTCATGATTTAAAATGAAAAAGAATAACATCCACATCTATTTAATGAGTAATATTTTATTTTTAAGTAGTAAGCAATCGGATCCCGATAATGAGATGTTTTATAAATTCTTCTGGTTAATTCTAATGTTAATTTTGTTATCTGCTTATTTCTTCCGGACCTCCACATTTTTTAGTTAAAATTACTTGAAAATAATCAAGAAAATATCTATATTAGTCGACGAAAACTGGAATCATATCTTACTGAATTACTGGCAAATCTTTCTAAATTAGATTCAGAAGAACTTATAAATTTGGCTTTGGAAAGCACATATTTATTACAGGTAATGCATAAAATTTGGATTTATACATATATGCATTATAATCACTGCCAAAAAAAACCCAGTGATATTAAAACATGAATATATGAACAAAGAATATTGTTTTCAGTAAATGTTAACCATATTTATTCTGATCAGTAGTCCGACAATTTTATTTAACGTTTAAACTTATTTATATTAGTCATCCCAACATTAACGATTGCGTTCTAATTTTTATGGCAAACGATTCTAAATTTCATATTCTATAATTTTAAATGATGTATTTTGCCTTGAAACTGGTCACTTTTTGGATAACTAATCAGGGTATATAACTGTAGAACCTGAAGAGAATTCATTGAAAAGAATACTCTTTATTCATATATCTGTGTTTTACATATGCATTAGCTGAAGGATTTTTATAGAGACTGGTTTAATTTGTAGGTTATACTCGTTACGAACTAATCTCAGTTATTATACCATTAACGATTAAGATCCGAAGGTCCTGTGTACGAAACCTGATGAGGTCTTGGATATTCACTACCGAATAGTCTTGTATTAGAATAAGACAGCTGTTCAGATTTCCTTGAAGTTAGTCTGCTATAAAATATCGTATATACTTATAACTCAAGATTTATGAGAATATAATATTGCGAACCACTGATCTAGATTATCGTTCGAATTACAGTCAGAAAGTTTCCACCTGTTAATATGCTTCAGTCTACTAGTTAAAGAGTTCATGGGTTGATTTCATGTCTAGATCTAGATCTATCAGCAAAGGGCAGCCATACTTAATACCTGTTCGAGTCACTTCGGCTGATTAAGATTAATAGCCTTGACAAAAATATATGTGTAATCCTGGAACTGAAAATGAATATTGCCACAAAAATAGCTTTTGCAAGAGACTATGACAGCAAGTAAATTTCTAAAATTCATCCTATTTTTTATCTAACAGTATATTTACATTAAAAATTCTTGTTCTAAAACTATGAAAAAACAATTATTGTTATGGTTATGGTATGAGTATGAGTACTCAAATACACATTTTTAAACCTCATGCTTTCTCGCCCGAGTGATCAAGAGAAAAAAATCACTGCCATTTTATAAATCATCTATCGAAAGAATTCATCTTATTATTAGTTTATTACATTTTACAGCCAATTATAAAGCATAGCTATTTATGCTAGTAGAAACTGAGCTGATTTGTTCAAATACCGATAAACTCTACTATTTTGGTATGATGAATGGTTGAAAGATCAAAATTAAGGTTGTTTTTTTTTTTTACATAAAATTCATCTCTATCCTTCAAAATAAAAATTAAAAAAAGATAGGCTAACTTTAGATTGACATTATTCGTTCATACACAACGACAAAATCTGACCAGTTTATTCAAGCATAAAATTTGTGCATCATCGAAATCAACGGCAATTATAATAGAGCATTATTTATGACAAAATAAATCGAATTAGGATCGTAAATTTCTTGGATTATGGTTATAACTAACAATTTTTCAATGTAGTAATGAATACGTTCACTAGATCTGATTTATTTTCAAATTCACAACGACCATTGACGATAATTAATTCTAAATTAGCATTATTCTCTTTTATTTATCAACTTACAGCTTGTATATGATGATGAAACTAATCTCCCATTAATTGGAATTACTATACTATTAAATATCTCAAGAGTTGATCATTCAAAACCGCATCAAATAATCTGTTATTCATAAACTTATTTTCTTTACTTTTGTTTACATTTTTCCTTTTTATTTGTGTAATATTTTATTTCTTGCAAACTGTAATACATCTATCTGTCAATTTTATGTATTGTTTTAATTTAATGATAAAGTTTTATCAATAATATATTTACAAACTTCATATTCACCTATGTGGTCCTTTTCAAATTATTTCATAGTCTTCAAATTGATTCATAATAATTACACTGAATCATCATTATGTTTCGGTTCATTTAACTTTAACACGTCGTTTACTTTCGTATTATGTATTCACAAACAGAATTATTGACGAATATATTTACTGTTTTTTTGTATGTGATTCTGATACAACGATGATGAATATTATTGTTATATAATGAAAGCTTTACATAACAACACTCATGTTATCACAAATTTTCCTTGTGAATTTAAATCACTTTGAGATTTCTAAGTTACGAGGTTATTAATCTTGGTCGGTTTCCAAAACAAATTTACTTCAACAAATGATTTTATAATTCAATTTCGTAATAATTTAGGTCGGAAAACTATTGTATGTTCATTCCTTTAAATCGGACTGATTTCAATTTTAGAGCAGCTTCTTAGCAGTATATCTTGATTCTTAGATGTCTGTAACTGGTTGACCTGCCAGTCAGAAAGCACTTATTTTTATAATTTATCACAATCGCACACATTACCAAAGCATCTTATTGATTCGCACACACACACACACGAGTTGAATTATGTTTCGTCGTAATCCATCCATTCCTGATAATCTCATAGCTACTTTACTTCAGTTGCACTAAGACCGGTAGAGGTAGTCCAATTTTTTCTATCACCGTAAATAAATCCTACAGCTAATCCATGAAGTACCGTCCCATATATTTTAATTTCTCTGGTAAAAACGATGAAATAGTCTATATTTTAAAACTGACAACGCCTTCGTGAATGCTTTTGTTACCGTCATCAGCAATTTTTTACTGTTTTGCCTTGCGAAATACTTTTCCTTCCTTATCTCTATCCGATCTCAATTATGACTTACTGTACGTTTGTTGTCAAATATATTGCTGTACCTCAAAAAGTCCTGTAAATGTTTAGACTCAGTAACGAACTACCAATCTTTCATAGTTCTAATCCAGGTACCACAGGTAATAGAACGGTACTTTACTTACCAGGGAAATATGTAACTGATTCAATATCTCATACGGACACTCAGTTTAATTGTCGAATTTACTTAACCTTATTCATATGTTATCGGTGCCTTTAGCTGTTTGTTCTCATGACTTAATGTTAGTTCGTTTATCTAATCGTCCTTCTCCTTTCCAGCTTTTCTCACAAAAGCTGTTCTGTTCACTCAACTTTGAATTGGATGAGATATGAACGGTGTTAAATTTAATGAGCCTGTTTATACAGTCTTGTAATCATGTCAAGATTGATCAAGGCGGATAAAAACCTCGTTTTATTCATGGATGTATGTCCTTAATCTGCTTGAACTGAACGGAGTAATGTGACTACTTAACTTGAGTGATCTTGTATGAAAGTCACACCATTCTTTAATTACCCCGACCCTGGCTCGTTCCAATCTATTGGCTAGGCTATTCTACCTTCATGGAGAAATTCAGGAACTAATGAAGTTCTGCCATAATATGTCGCATATCTGATAGGACAGATAAGGATGCATCATCACATGGACCAATTTGTATCGTTGATTTGTTCAGTATGTGTTCATCAACCTTAACCTTGGAATAGCTAGATAAACAGTTCGAAGTTTGTTGATCACTGATTTAAGGTAACCTTTCTTTCAGCTTGACGGTTAATTTGCCTAGCGTTTAAAAATACTTCAACAAATCCAGAGAACTGTCATTCTGTTGATTGTATTCGGCGGCAGTATCTTTTTTATTAAGACAACCATCTATAAATAGCTTAGAACTCACAAACCCTAAACATGTCAGTTAAACTCTCACTGGTGACCAAAATTTTTAACATGCTGATAATGTTAGTACCTCGACTAATATACATATGTGGTCATTTAAGCGAGTCATATCAGAACACGAGATTTATTTATGTCCAGTTAGATGAAAAGGATTTATAGCACTTTAGGTACACTTGAGTTTGTTTACATTGGATTTGATTAAACAATTTTATGAACTTATTTAGCAGAGCGTCATTCGTACAGCAACAACTTCTCTGTAGTACTTTAATTTTACGATTGTTGAGCATGTATGTTTGAGCATTGCTTACCTCCTACGCACATATTCATCCTGCTAGTTGTTATGTTAGTCGTTTAAATAATATGGTATCGACCACTTTATATTTGTAATAAACTCGATAACATTGTATTTTCGGCATTGCGTCTATAAAGTGAATTGTGACAAGCATTGGGAGTTTAGAGGAACGGTTATCAGGACGATCAGCATACGGAATTTTGGAAAATATCCCATATCCGCTGCCACAGAATTGGTGAGCCCGACTAACGAACTCAACGTAGCTTTCTATGATTTGATTGAACTACGATAATCAACTTACTCCATCTTGATTCGAATTATTACTGGATTATTATTCTCGTAGTTTCATCACACGTAAATGATCTGATAAACATCGTTGAACATATTTTGACAATATTGGCAATCACAGACATTATGCGTACACTTGTTATACTGGTGAGGTTGAGTAAGTTTGTTCCGTGTTATAAAATTGTATCATTCGTTGTTTGCATTATTACTGTCTCTTTAACTTACTCCCCTTATATATAAGTCGATTTATTCATGTACTACTCTGTGTATAAACATGTCTTCAGATAATGAGACATTAAGTCTTTCACAAACGCCGTTCTTATGGTCCCTCAGTCTTTATATTCCTCTTTTTAGGGTTACCGACCCACAACTTTGGTTCATTAGACTTTAAAATTACTTTTTAGGGGACCGTATTCATTCATAAAGAGACGAATTCGGCCACAAAAGATCACTGCTTCCGGACGAAGAAGCAGATAACATACGAGAGATCCTAACTAAGCCGGATACAGATAAGCCATTCGATACATTAAAGCAGGCTATGATAAAAGCCGTCTCGTTAACCAACCGACAAACTCGTGACTAGCTTCTCAGTCAAGTGCAAACAAGTGATTACTTACTTACTTACTTACGCCTGTTACCCCCAATGGAGCATAGGCCGCTCACCAGTTTTCTCCAACCAACTCTGTCCTGAGCTTCCCTCTCCAGTTCTGTCCAATGTTTGTTCATTCCTCTCATATCTTTCTCTATTTCTCGGAGTACTGTGTTCCTTGGCCTTCCTCTTTTCCTTTTGCCTTGAGGGTTCCATGTGAGGGCTTGTCTTGTGACGCAGTTAGGTGCTTTTCGTAGTGTGTGTCCTATCCACTTCCACCGCTTCTTCCTGATTTCCTCTTCCACTGGAATTTGGTTTGTTTTCTCCCACAGTTCGTTGTTGCTGATGGTGTCTGGCCAACGAATACGAAGTATTTTGCGTAGACAGCTGTTAATAAACACTTGTATCTTCTGGATGATGGCTTTGGTAGTTCTCCATGTTTCCGCTCCATACAGTAGAACTGTCTTCACATTTGTATTGAAAATCCTGATTTTGGTTTTGTTTGAAAGTTGTTTGGAGTTCCAGATATTTTTCAACTGTAGAAATGCAGCCCTAGCTTTGCCAATCCGTGCCCTCACATCTGCATCGGATCCACCTTGGTTGTCGATGATGCTGCCCAGATATGTAAAGGTGTTAACGTCGTCCAAGGCATCTCCATCAAGCGTGATTTGGTTGGTGCATGTTGTGTTGCATCGGAGAATCTTACTTTTGCCTTTATGTATGTTGAGACCTACTGCTGCAGAGGCTGCTGCTACACTGATCGTCTTCTCTTGCATTTGTTGTTGCGTGTAAGATAGAAGAGCCAGGTCATCTGTGAAGTACAGATCGTCCAGCTGCGTCCTAACTGTCCAGTTGATACCGTGCTTCCCTCCAGATGTTGACGTCTTCATAATCCAGTCGATGACCAGGAGAAGGAGAAAGGGTGAGAGTAAGCAACCTTGCCTGACACCGGTCTCCACCTCAAACGAGTTTGTCAACTGACCTCCGTGCACGATTATGCAGTTGAATCCATCATAAGAATTCCGTATGATGTTGACTATTTTCTCAGGCACACCGTAGTGTCGAAGAAGCCTCCACAGTGTTTTCCTATCCACGCTATCGAATGCTTTCTCGTAGTCGATGAAGTTAATTTGGAGTGGTGAGTTCCATTCAATTTATTGCTCCACAATGATCCGTAATGTAGCAATTTCGTCAGTACACGATCGATCCTTACGAAATCCGGCCTGTTGATCTCGAAGTTGGGCGTCTACGAAGTCCTTCATTCTGTTTAACAATACTTTGTTGAAGACTTTGCCTGGTAATGAAAGAAGAGTGATGCCTCTGTAGTTCTCACACTTGCTGAGATCGCCTTTCTTTGGTATTTTGATGAGGTATCCTCCTTTCCGATCTGATGGTACTTGTTCCTCATCCCAAATCTTGTTGAAGAGGATGTGAAATATTTTCGCAGTTGCTTCTACATCTGCTTTCATTGCCTCTGATGGAATGTTGTCTGGTCCTGCTGCTTTGCCGCTCTTGATTTGTCTGATGACTATACTGATCTCCTCAATCGTAGGTGCGCCAATATTAATTGGGAGGTCCGTGGATGCTGCTTCGATGTTGGGTGGGTTCAGTGGAGCTGGTCGATTCAATAGTTCCTTAAAGTGCTCTACCCACCTATTTCGCTGTTCGTCAGTGTTGCTGATTATTTTCCCTTCCTTGCTTTTCACTGGTCGTTCTGGTTTACGATAGTTCCCGGCGAGCTTCTTTGTTGTTTCGTAAAATTGCCTCATGTTTCCTTCTCTTGCAGCCTTTTCCGCCGTCATTGCTAGATCTTCCACATATTTTCGTTTGTCAGCTCTGATGCTCTTCTTCACTTCCCTGTTTGCTTCTGTGTATGCAGCTTGTGCGGTAACTTTCTCTGCTCTTGTTCGGCTGAC